GCAGAGAGTGGTAAAGACTGTGGAGAAGATCACCAGGACCCCACTGCCCTCTCTGCAGAGCATTTACCACCACAGGGTGTGTAGGAAAGCTGCCTCCATCCTCACTTTGATCTTAATTGATGAGCTAAATAACACACTTCACTATTTGCTAATAATCTGAATGTGCAGTTTTTGTGAAATCAGTCCCCTCATTAAAATGCACATTTATGCCAATTCCTATCAGACCATCTACTCTATAAATATAAAGTTTCTGCTTTGAATTGTTCTACACTTACTGTGTTCAAGAGCACGATCTATTGCAGAGTCACAGACAGCAGCATGGACATAATGTGCCACCATCTAGGCTACGATAGTAAAAGGCTTTAAATCTGGATTGTACCTGTAAACCAACACCAAGTATTGAGGTACTTCCAAATTGATACAAACCTTTGCTATGAGCTACTCATAATGGCTATAAGTAGCAGCTACAGTAGTTTTCCTTTCAGCAAACAGCAAATGTACCACTGAACATTTTCACAGTATAAAGTCTTTCTCTAGCAGACAGACGGTATGTCAAACTTTGGTTCAATTTGAGTTCACTTGCATTATTCTCCAGTCTCTTTGGAGTGCAGTGCAGTCAGTGAACCTCTCAGTATATTCTGAGTGTTACGCTTGAAGAGAAAGAAGCATAATTCAGTCTTGGCACTGCTGATCTTTTAGAGATGTGCAGCAACAACAAATAAAACAGACACTGGATTAGAACCGTTTACATCAGGAAAGCTGAAGTGTTGGTAAGAGCTGACAGTATTACAGTCCCACAGACAAGCTCATAGAGATACAGGATGTTGTCCCACAAGGTAAAACTCGTCTCAGCAGAGACCCCTTCAGGGGTGGGCGTCTGCTGAGCTGTGGTGGTCCAGCCTTGGGAACGTCCTGGGCTTCTCTTAGAGCAGGTGGAGGCTTGAGCTCGTTTGGACTGGATGGGTCGGTCTTCTTCTTCTTCTTCTTCGGAGGTCTCCTTGGTGCCATGGCGGGTGGTCTCTGAGGGGGCTCCTTGTGGGGAGGCACTGACAGCTTTGACAGGGGAGATGAACTCTCCTGGCTATGACTGTTAATGTGCTTAATCAAAGGTACTATCCCTGCCCTGTTTAGGGCATTGTTATACATTTAATCAATGTGAATCATGGATCATCCTTGCATTATCTGGAGGTATTCCAGATGTGACGTGAAGGTAGCAGGTATTTCTCTGTCTAAGGTTAATTTAAATCTTATGCCACTGAAATCCCTTAATCACTAATCCAGGACTGACAGACATTAACAGTGAGTAGATGCAATCTGCTGTTGGTTTTAGTCTGTATGGAGATTGTTAACCAGCCTTATCCCTTGATGATTTATGACAAACTGTTTTAGCATTTATGATATTCTTGATATGAGACATCATTTTCCTCCACAAGTGGGACATTTTGTCATATTAGTTGAACAAACTCTTATTAGTCACTTTTTTCCAGCAGCTAGTGGCAATTTTTGTCCAACAAGTTCCACTGTAAGTCATGCTAGTAACACCAGGTGGCATATTGGTAGCTCCAAAGTCCCAACTAGTCAGCTTTTTGACACACTTATGGCCTTCTGGATCGAACTAGTAACACTGAAAGTCTTACTAGTTAACTGTAAAGGCTCTGATATGTTAAGCAGTCAAGCATGGATTCAGGTCACTAGTTACACTAGTGAGAGACATTTTGACTTAATTAGGAAGGTACAAAATGTGTAATGAAGTGTTGGTACTTGTGACAGTCAATAATTGTGTAATGCGTGTCTGTAGCCCCTTTAGTCAAGTGCAGCTTTCAGGACTTGTCTAACAGAATATTTGGTTTTTAATCAGACTGTTGCAGAAACAGTAAATTCTAACTACATGCAAATGAAGTTTGGAAGGATGAATGTTGGTTATGCTAGCTCTGTCTTCATGTTAAAACAATCTGCTGTTGGTTTTAGTCTGTATGGAGATTGTTAACCAGCCTTATCCCTTGATGATTTATGACAAACTGTTTTAGCATTTATGATATTCTTGATATGAGACATCATTTTCCTCCACAAGTGGGACATTTTGTCATATTAGTTGAACAAACTCTTATTAGTCACTTTTTTCCAGCAGCTAGTGGCAATTTTTGTCCAACAAGTTCCACTGTAAGTCATGCTAGTAACACCAGGTGGCATATTGGTAGCTCCAAAGTCCCAACTAGTCAGCTTTTTGACACACTTGTGGCCTTCTGGATCGAACTAGTAACACTGAAAGTCTTACTAGTTAACTGTAAAGGCTCTGATATGTTAAGCAGTCAAGCATGGATTCAGGTCACTAGTTACACTAGTGAGAGACATTTTGACTTAATTAGGAAGGTACAAAATGTGTAATGAAGTGTTGGTACTTGTGACAGTCAATAATTGTGTAATGCGTGTCTGTAGCCCCTTTAGTCAAGTGCAGCTTTCAGGACTTGTCTAACAGAATATTTGGTTTTTAATCAGACTGTTGCAGAAACAGTAAATTCTAACTACATGCAAATGAAGTTTGGAAGGATGAATGTTGGTTATGCTAGCTCTGTCTTCATGTTAAAATTGGCAGGAAGAAGCTGTGTACTCAGTTTTCCCCCCTCTCTTAAAGGTGAAGTGTATGTCCCCTGCTGTGAATATGATTAAAAATTTAAAACAGAAATTATTGCAGTGCTATGCTTTTAACATACGCAGCTCTATAAAGTTCATTTAAAAAAGCTTTAATGGAAACAACTAGCATATGGAGTCAAACATGGTATTACAGTACATACCAATGTAATTACATTTATGACAAGTCTGAGTACCTATAAATATATCCTTTTTTTCTCATCTTGGAGAGCACTTAACATGCAACTCTTACAAATCCATGCCTCTGCACTCTCAAATACTGAGCTGCAAAATGAATAGGGCTCGAAATGTGATGTGTGTGCCATCTAACGTCTTGGCAAAGATTACCTTTCATACATGTCCCAGTGGAAAGAGTAAGAGTTGAAATACATTAGCATGAAATTAAGAATCACTTGCTCATTTAACTACATGAGTTGTAATTTAGCTAAATGAAAATCAGTAATACGCTTTGCAGCAAGATGTAACCAGGCTGTAACAGATTTTCTCTGAGATTTCAAAAGAGGGGCATAGCACAAAATCTGGAATTAGAAGCTACCGGATCTACAACTACCTGTGGGAAGGACTGAGAGCACCCACAAAAGATGTGAGGGTGTCCAAACTATGACACTGAAGAAATAGGGTTGTGTGGGGAGCCCATCTGTGTGAGGACCTTGTCCAACCACTGCAGGGGCCCATGGAGATGCACCTCAATCCAGCAGGGGGTGCTGGTCACATCTTGCCGATGGTATTCAGCACCCCATCCCTGAGGAGAGGACACAACCATAAGTCTCAGCTGTGCATGCTGGCAGTTCAGTTAACTATTGAAATTAATAGGGATTTAAGTGAATAAGTGTGATCCCACCTTTTGTACAGTCCAAATGCACAACACCAACATAAACAACATATGAAGTCACAGTAAAAAAACTGAGCTGATATTGAACTCTTCTTATTAAAGCAAACAGGTATCAAGCAGAAATGTGGGCTAAAGGAAAATCAGAATGTGACATATCCCCAAATGTTTCATTTTATAAAAATGCTCAGTACCTTAACGAAACTCATGCGGATGGTGCACATCTTAGTGAGCTCATAGACCACCTCGAAGCCATGGTTCACGGACTGGGCGAGGAGCTGAGCAAACAGCTGGTTGTTAAAGATCTTGAGGCTGCAGCCACTGGGGATCTTACACACAGTTGTGGCGTGGAAGCCATGCTGGAAGTTGCAGTTACGGCTCTGGACAAAGATACTGCTGTCACTCAGACACTCTGCGTACACCTCGCCACCTACATAATACAGGTGTAAACCTGAGAAGAAAATCAAATAGTCCCTAAATGATCAAATCAGTACTAAGTGAATTAACTTTAATGTGGTAAACAAAAACAACCTGTCCTTTTGCTGTGTTACAAATGCAATACTTAATATATCAGAGCATGTCAAAAAGAGCATAAAACTGGCCTTTATCCATTAAGACAAATACAGTAAAAACAATCAAGATAAACCTATTCAATCATTTTCTTTTATACAAACTGAAAAACAAGTTGGGGACCAACTATCCTCAACTTTTGGTGTCACCCCTATCATCCAAAACCACACACATCTTCATAGAGCTCAGTTTTCTCTAACCCACAAAGACACTTCATGTCCGAGAAAGGATTCAGTACAAGGAGACAAGTCTAGCTAAAGCCTGAGGTAATGTGATTCCTTGCAAAGACACATGCACAACCCGGGAATTTTTTTTTTTTTTTTTTTTTTTTAAAGTGTAATGTGTAGCTTTTGCAGATGAACTTCTCCTCAGTCCCTGTTCTCTTCTAATGTTTGTTGGGTAACTTATGCAAAGAAGCATATGTTCTGATGAATTACCTGCATGAGTCGTCCAGCCTACCTTTGCCTATGTGTCTGCGTGTGTGTTCAATGGTGGAGTTGCGGTTGACATTGGATAACAGGCCAAGGCAGAACCGGTTCTTGTTGTTGGATGGGTCTGTGAAGCCGTCCACCAAGACGCTGCGGGATGACGCGTGGAAAGTCTCCCCCACCCGGTTGTTGAGCTCGTAGTAAGCTATGGAACACCAGTGCTCTGGCTCCTCGTAACACACAGGCCGCAAATCTAAACAGAGGTGGACAATTTGAAGAGAATACTCTATCACGGTATACTTAAATTTAGATACTTTATCACATTGATGCAATAATGTGATTTTAACATCTGCAATGGCTAACCTGAAATACAGTGCCTTGCGAAAGTATTCGGCCCCCTTGAACTTTGCGACCTTTTGCCACATTTCAGGCTTCAAACATAAAGATATAAAACTGTAATTTTTTGTGAAGAATCAACAACAAGTGGGACACAATCATGAAGTGGAATGAAATTTATTGGATATTTCAAACTTTTTTAACAAATAAAAAACTGAATAATTGGGCGTGCAAAATTATTCAGCCCCTTTACTTTCAGTGCAGCAAACTCTCTCCAGAAGTTCAGTGAGGATCTCTGAATGATCCAATGTTGACCTAAATGACTAATGATGATAAATAGAATCCACCTGTGTGTAATCAAGTCTCCGTATAAATGCACCTGCACTGTGATAGTCTCAGAGGTCCGTTTAAAGCGCAGAGAGCATCATGAAGAACAAGGAACACACCAGGCAGGTCCGAGATACTGTTGTGGAGAAGTTTAAAGCCGGATTTGGATACAAAAAGATTTCCCAAGCTTTAAACATCCCAAGGAGCACTGTGCAAGCGATAATATTGAAATGGAAGGAGTATCAGACCACTGCAAATCTACCAAGACCTGGCCGTCCCTCTAAACTTTCAGCTCATACAAGGAGAAGACTGATCAGAGATGCAGCCAAGAGGCCCATGATCACTCTGGATGAACTGCAGAGATCTACAGCTGAGGTGGGAGACTCTGTCCATAGGACAACAATCAGTCGTATACTGCACAAATCTGGCCTTTATGGAAGAGTGGCAAGAAGAAAGCCATTTCTTAAAGATATCCATAAAAAGTGTCGTTTAAAGTTTGCCACAAGCCACCTGGGAGACACACCAAACATGTGGAAGAAGGTGCTCTGGTCAGATGAAACCAAAATTGAACTTTTTGGCAACAATGCAAAACGTTATGTTTGGCGTAAAAGCAACACAGCTCATCACCCTGAACACACCATCCCCACTGTCAAACATGGTGGTGGCAGCATCATGGTTTGGGGCTGCTTTTCTTCAGCAGGGACAGGGAAGATGGTTCAAATTGATGGGAAGATGGATGGAGCCAAATGCAGGACCATTCTGGAAGGAAACCTGATGGAGTCTGCAAAAGACCTGAGACTGGGACGGAGATTTGTCTTCCAACAAGACACTGATCCAAAACATAAAGCAAAATCTACAATGGAATGGTTCACAAATAAACATATCCAGGTGTTAGAATGGCCAAGTCAAAGTCCAGACCTGAATCCAATCGAGAATCTGTGGAAAGAACTGAAAACTGCTGTTCACAAATGCTCTCCATCCAACCTCACTGAGCTCGAGCTGTTTTGCAAGGAGGCATGGGCAAAAATTTCAGTCTCTCGATGTGCAAAACTGATAGAGACATACCCCAAGTGACTTACAGCTGTAATCGCAGCAAAAGGTGGCGCTACCAAGTATTAACTTAAGGGGGCTGAATAATTTTGCACGCCCAATTTTTCAGTTTTTTATTTGTTAAAAAAGTTTGAAATATCCAATAAATTTCGTTCCACTTCATGATTGTGTCCCACTTGTTGTTGATTCTTCACAAAAAATTACAGTTTTATATCTTTATGTTTGAAGCCTGAAATGTGGCAAAAGGTCGCAAAGTTCAAGGGGGCCGAATACTTTAGCAAGGCACTGTATTAATGAATAGTGTAATATTGTTCTGTATACAACAACATCTCTATCTGTAGACATTTTTTTTTATAATTTCAAGGTATATTGTGTCATATGCAGAAATAACAGTGTGCATTTCTACTTCCTGTATATCTCCGATTGTGTGAACTGAAGTCACTGTACCTCTGTGTGGAGCGGAAAAAGTGAGTTTAATGGTTTCTGTGGAGTTACTGGGCTTCACATCCTCTTGAGGGCTTGTCTCCATCACGCTGTATGGAGGGGGGGGACTCTCAGCTGGACAAAAACATCACAAATCACAAGAAGCAGATAAATTGGAAAAGTAATTGATGCATGCTGATCAGGGACTTGAGTTTGAGACTAGCAATTTCCTTAATAGATAGTTGCTAGGTTATTCAATTATCAGTCAATTGTTAAAGTGAAATACATTTATTCATAAAAAGTTTACCAATGTAATCTATATTCTCTGTAAACTCTGAGTAAATTGGGAATTTAAAGATGAAGTAAACAACAGAGTTGCAAAATAAAACAACATAATGATGTGAAATTGGAGCTTCCACTCCTGTCACTATACAGACTATACACAAATACAATCCTTGTTTTAAGTAAGATAATAAGCATACGACTGAAGTGACTTGTGTGTTGTTCAGTGCAGGTAGCAGTACTCGTAGGCAGTAGAGCTGCTGAGCTGGATGCCTACAGATGTGCCAGTGGTGAATAAATAATGTCGCTAACTTTATCAGTCCAGGAAATGTTCTGCATTTATAGGCACTACCACCAGACAAAAAGCATATATACTCAGAGCAGGGCGATGTCACTCATACAGTTAATCACTTTCATGCTGATTCTGTTGGAATCATCTACTTTGTATCCTGAACATTAGCAGCGCAGCTACAGCGGTGCTCTCAGATGTCTGACATGTCTTTTCCAGCGTGCATTAACGGAGCCTGAGTGAGCACCTACATCAGACAACAAATCGGACACTTCATGCTGCAGTGTTCATCAACAACTGCAACAGTGTAAGCACAGGAAGCTACAGTGCCACTATTGCTTTCTTATATTGGCAAGGAGCTATGTTCATTTTACAGTTGGTACAAGCACATAACTATTTCATTAAACAGCCATCTAGTGGTGTAAGCAGGTTACTACAGCAAACTACACCATTTTCTGACAGTTACTGCACATCCTCATATTCTGCGCTGCCGGTTAATATATATTTTAATTGATTAAATTATTAACGTGATTAATGATGAAATCAGAATCAGCTACAGCCATGGTAAAACTGCCACCTGCTCGCAGAACATTTCACACAAGCTGTAACAAAGTATCAGCTTGCTTGTTTTGATTCCTACCTGTGATGTGATATGGGCTGCCAGGTTCTGCAGAGCTGTTGGGGGAGTTGGGGTAACTCTGTGAGGTGGGAGACTGGGCGAGGGAGGAAGGAGGAGAGGAGGAGGAGAAGGGCAACGGAGGGAAGGAGTCGGGATAGGTGGCGTTCTGGGGCATCAGAGGCTCGTGCAGAGAGGCGTTTCTGAATTTAGCCAGTAAACTGTGCTGAGGGTTGAACTCACTGTGACGTGGGACCAGAACCGGTGGTAGCACTAAGAGGAGAAAGGAAAGAAATATGTAGAGAGGTGGAGACAGCAAGAGCCAGATTCCGGTGTAAAAGATTATATTACTGCAAATTATTTTGGCTTTGGATAGACTGAATCACATGTCCTGCTTCTATTTGAGAACCCATGAAAGCGTTACTGCTATAAATTAAAATTCAAGAATTGCCTTATTTTGTATAATTTAAAATATTTTCTGCTGTGTACCTGGAGTCTCCACACGCCTGTAGTGGTAGGGGTTCACACAGATGTCCTTCTGCTTGGAGCCGAAGGGGAACTCGCAGCACTCCAGGGCTTTCAGCTCATGGTGGGACTGCAGGTCAGGCCAACGCCACACCCTGCAGTAGATGACATGGGGCAGACCCTTCCTGTGGGACACCTGCAACCTTCCATCCAGCGACCGAGGAATTGTCACGCACTTGCCTGAAAAATTAAAATGAACCAGCACCTATCTCAATTCAGACTCTGTTGCATGTTTAGCTTCTGGTGATTTAGGCCTTAATCATGATGAGACACATTTTCTACCAGGGTAAATAGAAATCAGCACTTTGTCCTGTTACTAATACAGCTGTTACCCACAGTGTACTTTTAAGAGGGATGTCTGCAAGCTATAAGTGGATCAGCTGAAACATGTATGTTTCACAGAAACTCTGCTGGGCATTAGTATTTACTACTGTATCTCTGTTCAGCCAATATGCTTGTACCAAAGTATCTTTACTTATCCTGATGGCATTCAATATGAACACACAAAAAATACTGAGAAGTAGCGACAGTCATGCTACATAAGATTTCTTTTTATCAGGTTTTAAAAGAAAATGATAATTAACTAGTATAGTTTTACATGTAAGGCTTGTAAAAAAAAAAACCTTTTCTAGAGCTGTGGCATAGTTGTTTCTTTGTTTTGTGAAAGAACACTGACAGAAGTCATCTGATGCAATCAAAGCTGTGACCCCACAGCCATCTTTACTGACTAGATTAGTGGGTCCCAACCTTTTTAGCTTATAACAGGCAAATAAGCATGTAAAGTAAGACAAATAAAGTCAGAAACATTTTTATCCTGTATAACCCAAGACCCATCAGCTTTATCTTGTCATCCCCAGTCAATGGTTTCGACCTGTATCTGATGACACTGAGATACTCACTGGGTTGCCCAGGGCAGCTGAGGGCTCTCTCTAGCTCCTCCATTGCCCCTTTCTTCTTCTTCAGTTTCTTCACTAGAGAGTCCACAGCCTTTTCTGCCCACTTCTCTTCCTCATCCCCTTGTTTCCAGCCAAGAAGGCGCTTCACCGCCGGGCTGGTGAAGGAGAAAAGGGATGTAATGGATGTAGAGGAGTTCATTGTGAGATGAATAAATGGTAGGTGAGATGAGCTGATGGGAGCTGTTAAAGAGATAAATGTTCCCTTGAGGACAAGAGCAAGTAGCCAGGGCAGAGAAGAATCACAGATATGAGGATAACAGGCAGCGTGGCGAGTCTGTGTAAACAGGCTGTTTTTTGTATTCCACTGTTACTTCCGAGCAGTGCTGGTGAAGGAGCTGGACTCCTGCCAAACCCTAAATCCCCTCTCTGGGTTGGCACAGGAGGGATCTGGCAGCTCTCGATTCAAAGTCTCCTGCAGGGAAGATTATTCTTCACACGGCTAGAACTCCTGGTCAAGTTTCAATCATCTGGCAAGAGAAGTGAGAGACAGCATTAACTGCTAATGTAGCTCGGGAAGATGCATGGCTGGTGAAAGGCTTCAGAGGTAGAAAAGACAACTTGGGATTTAACTGTAGGGGAATTGAGCCAGAGTTACTAGGTGATAAGATGTTCTGGAGTGATGACAAATGCCAAAGTGAAGTCAAACACGGAACACCATATTTAATGATATGGGCATTAGGGGAAGATTTGTATCAGCAGAGCACCATACCTGCACCGAACTGATCTCCAACATCCTGAAGAATAAGACTATTATACTCTATGGACAAAATGAAATGCATACCCAAACTGTTTCAGGGAAGAAAACAGGGCAAAATGACCAAGCTCATTTCTTGATTCACCAACAATGAGGAATGTCCTTTTTGGCCTCTGTTTCTATGATCATGCCACTGACGCCCAGGAGCCACACTGTCTGGCCAGAACACATCACAGGACAGGAGGGGGAGAGGGAGGGAGGGGAACGGACACAGAGCTCTCTCCCTGTTTGTTGGTCTGTCCATCTAAAAACCATTTAAAGTTACCAAAATGACAACAATAAGATAAAGACGTATGTGCTCTTATTGAACATATTTAGGTAGCCTACCTGAGTGGCTGCACCATCTTTCTGAAAAATTACCTTTTTCTCAAATATTTGTACAGTATGTCAAAGACTCAGTAGGAAGTTGATTTCCTACTTAAATATTGTTTTATCTCCTACAGCAGAACGTCCTGCGGAACAGAGTAGCCTATCATTCTTAACCAATGTGGTAGAAAAACTCATTTTTGTGGTAGTGCAGATTTATTCATGCCAGATTATCGTCGCTCCTTTGCGCTTTACGCACCCCCGTTTCTTTATGCGCATCTGATGCGGGTAACTTAGATATCTTGGCAGGGAACGAGCTACCGACAGAACGAAGTTACATCTCAAAATACACGCAGGTAATAAAGCAACGTGAACCAGCATACCACTGCGCCCTGAACAGCTGGGGTTTACAATGACAGCAAAAGCGCACAGGCTCAATGCGGCAGCAGTCCGCCGCCACCGCTCCTGCAGCCTGGCGTCACTCAGTCTGCAGGCTCAGATAGGCTAATTACCCAATGCTTTATCACCAGGATACCCCCTTCCCAAGAAAGTAAACACGCCAGCTTCCTTTTACTACTACTACTACCGAGTCACTCTGCCGCTACAAAATTCGAGCGGAAACTAAATCAGGCAAAATCCTTGTCACCGCTCATTAACATGCTACTACAGACTATAAACTTTAACAGGTCTATCAGGCGCAGAAAACCCTGCTTTTGAATATTCTTGAATTCGTGCTCAAATACTATTAATTCTGAAGTATAGACGACACTTATTAAACTCAGTCATGTCAATATAATAATAGTAGAACAGAAAATTTAAGCGACAAACAGATGCTCAGCAGTGTCAAAACACATTTACGCGTATTTAACATCAATCTTGAATATTTAACGGGGCTATAAACACGTAACAACATATGGCACAGAAAGAAAATCCATTTCTTGAAATACACAAAATCTGTTAATTCTCTCACCTGTGTTGTGATAACAAGTGCACCGCAGAGAGTGGAGGAGTGGGAAGGCTTCCCGTCTGTGGTCAGTCAGACCAGCAAACTGAAGCAGCCAAGGTGTGTGTCTGTTCGTACGCGCATGTGAGCGCGGATTGTGTCTGCGAGCTTGTGCTGGAGTGTCAACTCGGCTCAAAGAAAACAGCCTCCAGCAGCACATTTCAAAATAAAAGTCTGCTGAACTGCAAGGTACAGCATGAGTCACTCATCATCACTTGGCATAGGCCTAAATATAGAAAAGGTGGACTAGTGTGATGCCAAATACACTAGGCAACCAAAAAGACGAATGTGTGAGTTGTAAAATCAACTGATGTGATTTTAGCACATGATTTGATCCTCAGCAACTTCTACAGCTGCATCGTCGAGAGCATCTTGACCAGCTGTATCGCTGTCTGGTATGGCAGCACTACTGTTATGGACTGCAAGCTCCTGTAGAGAGAGACTGCTAAGAAGATCACCAAGACTCCACTGCCCTCTCTGCAAGGCAGAGACTGCAGGAGACCTGCCTCCATCCTCAAGGACCCCACCCACCCCCAGTATGGACTGTTCAGGCCATAGGTACAGAAGTGTGAAATGCAGCACTTCTAGACTAAATAACTCTTTCTTTCCAACTGCCATCAGACTCCTAAACAGCTGACAGGAGATTATAATCAGGAATTACTTCAATGTAATTCCAGCTGACTGTTACACTCTCAGTTTGCACATACATAGAGAAAAAAATTGGTCGGACCACTCCCACAGCTCTTGCAGATGTGTCATCTACTACAATGGCTTTAGAAACATCTGTGAGACCTCATTTATACTTGGACTACTTCTCCCCTATAGATCTCTCTGAGTTGACCTCAACAATTGCTTCATCTAAATCATCAACATGTCTCCTGGACCCCATCCCGACCAGGCTGCTCAAAGACGTCTTTCCCCTAATCAACACATCCATACTAGATCTGATTAACCTCTCTCTATTAACAGATTATGTTCCACAGGCTTTTAAAAAGCAGTAATTAAACCTCTACTCAAAAAGCCTACTCTTGACCCAGGTGTCCTAGCTAATTATAGACCAATATCCAATCTCCCATTTATTTCCAAAATCCTTCAAAAAGCTGTTGCAAAGCAGTTATGTGACCACTTGCACAAGAATGATTTGTTTGAGGATTTTCAGCCAGGATTTAGAGTCCATCATAGTA